TTTATTCCAATGATCTATATGTCTTTCCTTACACCAACACTGCCTTGATTACTGTAGCTTTAGAGGAAATCTTAAAATTAGGTACTAAACGTCTTCCAACACTGTTTTTGGCTTTTCTGGGTCCTTTATACTCCTACATAACTTTTAAATTTCAATATCCAATTCTTCATTTATAGCAAGTTTACACAGACCTGAATTTATAAAAAATATACCTTGTGTTTTCTAATCCTGCTAAATTCAAGTACAAGTTCTAGGGGCTCCTAGAGATTTCTTAGTATTTTCTCTGTAGATGATCATTTCATCTATGTATAAAGATTTTGCTTCTGCCGTGCCAATCCTAGCCTAGTTGTGTCATTTTATTGCCAGACTATTTTGGTTTAGACCTATGTTTCAAAGTCTAATAGACAGATAAAGAGTAGGCATATATGCCCTTGTTCCCCACTTTAGGGAGAAAGCATTGTATCGTCTCCATTCATAGAAGGAGTTTTTGTTGGAAGTATGGAGTACATGTCTTTGATCTGTTGAGAAGGTTCTGTTCTACTTCTAGTCTCCTGGTAGCTTTTACCATGAACAGATGTAGAATTTAGTCCAATACTCTTTCTCCAACTAGTGACAGGATCATATGGCTTTCTCCTTTCCTCTGTTAAAATGATGACTTTTGGGGTGGATCTTCCAATGCTGAACCAACACTGCCACCCCTATAATAAAACCACTTTCTACATACTGCCAGATCTGACTTCCAAGAGTTTGTTTTGTTAAACAAATTTCTATCTATGTTCGTACTTTTTTCTTCTGTTATCTTTATCCAGTTTTAGGATTGGCGCAATGTTGAGTTCCTAAAATGAGGGGAGAAGTGTTCCTTCTTTTTTCTGCTTTAAATGTTTGATATAATTTATCAGTTAAAATGTTTATGAGCCTGCTGTTGTTATATAGGTAAGTTTTCAAGCTAGGAATATACTTTCTTTAATAGGTGCTATTCAAATTTTATATTTCCTCCAGAGTTTCATTAATTTGTCTTCTAAGTTACTTCTTAGAAGTTGTCAAATTTATTTCAAAAAAGATTTTTGTAATATGCTTTCTATATCCTTTTAAATTCTGTAAATCTGTGGTAATGTCTCCTAGATCTTAATATTATAATTTAAAAAATGTATAACTGATATTGTGTAACAGGAAGAAAAGGTCTAAAGGTGCAGGGGAATTGGGAGGGGTAGGGGAAGGGAAAAAAGGGAAAGGAAAAAATATGAGAAGAGGAAAAAAAATGGAAACAAGGTCTTTGCAAATAGGGAAGGGTGGAGGGGGTGAAGGGAAGGCAAGGGAAGGGGAAAAAAAATAAGAACCAAGAGACTCATGTAATGGTACAAGATCCCAATGATGAATGTAACTGTATTTTATACCTAAAATGTACCAATAAAGTTAATGGGGAAAAAATAAAATAAAAAAAAATTTTGCCTATCTTACCCTAGGAAATATTAGATATTTTCTTACACCTAAAACTGCTGTGCCAGATTAATTTAGGTCTCATCACTTATTTCAAAGGAAAGTTTTACATTGGAATGTATTTTTCAAACTATGTCCACTGAGGGGCATATGTTTCTCTCATAAGAAGAAAGAGTTTTACTTCAGTAAATAATTTCATCGGGGATGTGACAGTGCAACCTGGTTTAAATAATTTTCCTTATGTTTGTGGCAATGATATTTTTGTCTATTTTTCAAGCATTCTGTAGCAGAAAACTGTCAGTTTTAAGAGTCTTCCCTTCTTAAAATGTCTTTATATGAAAATCTACTGATTTGATATTGGCTTTTTTTTCCTTGAAAAATAAGGCAGAATAACTCATTCTAGAATTCTCATAGTCTTCATAATTCCTTCAAGAAATTATAGAATATTTACAAATAGATCTTTGACATACTGAGTATACACATGTCCCACACAAATTTCATTTTAGTCCAGGTAACTCTCTGAGGATGAAGTCTTTGAAAGATCTCAGGACATTTGTTGGTTTGGGGGATGGTGACGTACAAACTGTGCTGGGTGCTCATCATGTTGGGATCTGGATTAGAAGCAGTGGAGCAGTGAGAGGAGAAGTGAGCTGTAGGGTGGTTCTGCAGGTGGTGGGGTAGACTCAGCAGTCTCCCTGGCCCCTGTGAGTAGAGATATTTCATGCCTTGTATTTTATTCCACTTTCAATAAAGTAAAAACTTCAAATTATTTTACAATCAAATTTTGCTATAGTAATTGTTTATTTTACTTCTGTCATGTACATAGTAGGGATGTTAATCAGAAACACACATTCCCTAAACCCCCAAGGGTTGGTCTGTTGTCTTAGTTTGATAGGACTGCTCTGACAGAGTACCCCAAACTGCATGGCGTAGTGGACAGAAATGGATTGCCTCAGTTTTGGAGGATTGACGTCCTAGATCCTGGACTTACAGGACTGGTTCCTTCCGAAGGTTGTGAAGATGGATCTGTGCCAGGCTCTCTCACATTCCTGGTGGCTGCTGGCAGTCATTGGCACTCCGTGGCTTCTGCCATCACCGGGTCTCTGCCTTCATCTTTATGTGGCTTTTGCACTGTCTTTGTGTTTCAGTATCCAACCACCTTCTTAATAGAGACACCTGTGACAGTCTGCGAGGGACCCATCCTATTTCAGGGTGACCTCACCTAATTGTATCTGCCACAACTGCATCTCCAGCATGTCCACATATTAAAGTCCTGGGGTTTAGGACTTCTACATATGGATTTGCAAGAAGTGGATATAATCCAATTCATGAGATCTTTTATTATACTTTAGAAAGAGGACTTAGGATGGGACAGAGATGAATCAGAACCAATTTTAAGACATAGTTTCATTAGATTTAATGCATTTTTTTTTCCAGAAAGTTAACTTTTTTTTTCAGTGTTTGTTTTTTACTATTACATGTTTGTAATACATAATGATCATGTTCCTCATGGGGAGTTGGGACATGTACGTTAGCACTTCTTAATTCTTTCAATACCCTTCAGCCCCCCTATCTCACCCCTCTATCTTTTGGTCCCTTCCCATTTGTGAAAAATCTCTCTCTCTATTTCCTAGTATCTGTCTTTTATTATGATCTTCATTTATATTTTGGTTGCTCATACAAGACAAACCGTGCGATATTTAAGATTGCACATCTGATTTATTTTAGTAAACATGGTCTCAAGATGCATCCATTTTCCTACAAATGACTTGAGTTTATCCTTCCTTATGGCAGAGTAGTATTCCATTGTGTATAAATACCACATTTTTAAACGCATGCATCTATTGCTAGACCTAAAGCTCTTCCCGACCTATGTATTATGAATTGCGCAGCTATAAACATGAGTATGCATGTATGGCGGTAATATAATGTCTTTAAATCTTTGGGAAGATACATACAAAAGGAATACCTGGTTCAATTAGAATTTCTAGTTTGGGTTTCCTTTTTTAAAAAAATATTATTTTATTGGTACATTTTAGGTATACAATATAAAGGCATTCATCATTGGAAATTTGCACCTTTACAAAATCTCTCTTGGTTCTTATTTTTCCCCCTTCAACCCCTGCATCCCTCCCTATTTAAAAAGACTTTGTTTCCATTTTTTCCATTTTCTCATATTAATCCCATTCCCTTCTTTCTTTCCCCTACCCCTCCCACTTCCCCTTCCCCTCTGCCCCTTTTCTTCCTATTTCACATTATCTATTATACCTTTTAGTCCTTATTTACACTTTCAGTTCTCACACTTGAGAAACTATTCAGTATTTACACATGTGTGTCCTGTTTATTTCACTTAAGAATATCACCTCAAAAAAAAAGAAACCACACCTTTTTTTTAGACACAATTCAACCTTTGACAATGTGATGTCTACATATTTGGAAGGTCCATTAAAATTTAGTTTATAACTCATCATGATAAGTATTAAGAATTTTCTCTCAGACTGTTGCTTACCTTCACATCTACTTGAGTATCCTTAATCATAGGGAAATTTCCCACTTTTTTAAAACCAATTCTGTTGATGAATTCCTTTATAATTTTTGCATTATGTTGCAGAACTTTTAAACATGACTTTTCCAATCCAAGATATTAAATTAGTCTTAATTTTTAATAATTTCCTATTATGTTTTTAATTTTTGTGTCTTTATTTTTGTATATGGTATATAGGAAGGATAAAGTATATTTTTCAAAGATAATAGCCAATTGTCTAAAACATACTCTTATATGACACATTTAATATAATTTAAATTTTCATACTATATTGGAGTAATTGTTAATAATTTTTATTGTTCTTTTCTAATCATACTATTCCTAAAAATACAGTATTTTAATTTTTATATTTTCATGGCTCCCAACATGATTGTTGTACTACAGTTTCTTCTTGTCTTATTTTTTCAAATATCGACCTCAAGAATTCTGCTAACATGAAAATAAATTAAGGATACAATCTTTTTCATGTGTGTGTGCTGGGAGAAACCAATATACATGTAAATATTAACCATATGCACATACATTCCTGTCTGTGTAAAAATTTCTGTCATTCCATGAGATATTGGAAAAAACAGATAGGTATGTATGTGTGTTTGGTCTGTCATCTTGACCCAATTTACTTTGACCTCTTGTTTGGGTAAATATGTTCTTTAGTTTTTTTAATTACAACCAACCCCACAGATGATTCCTAAGAGGAGGATTCTATATTTAAACATCTATGTGTGTCTTATTATTGAACTGTATAGTTTTTAACCTGAAGGGGGCCATGGCATAACAGATTCAAGTGAAGGCCTCTTACTTTTTTGGTAATGTCAATACAAACAGGGATAATATTGCACATCCATAAATCTACTTTGGTATCTATCATGGATTTACACATTTTCCTTGAATCTCATCAATAATTGTTTCTCCAACTCATTTACCGTGACTTTTTTCCTCATGATTTTTCAGTGTTACTATTGCCCCATTTACTTGAAGATAAAAAACTACTCAGTGTGTACATTTTAAGAAAAAAGAAAAATCCCATGGGAAAAAATGGTAATGTACAAGAAATGATTTAAGTGTTTGCTGAAGAGTTTGCTTTTATGTTTTTAGATGAGTTCACCACACAAAATCCAAATGATAATCAGTCTGAAATAACTGTGAAAGCAACAACAGACCTGACTTTTGCCCCAAAGAACTGAGTACTGAATGGCACCACTGTACTTGTGAAAGCCCTAAAGCAGAACTTGAAAGCAGCACTAGAGGGTGTTGTGGAGGAAAGACCTCTTAGCTCCTAAACTAAAAGCCTAGAATTTTCCCTTTCAGGTAGACTCTGATTCTGGGCCCCAGTTGAATTCTCAGTCATCCCCTAGGTTTTTCTCACTCTTCCCCCTACATCATACCTTGAAGACTAATGTCCATTGCATTGATAATTCAGAAGATAGGAAGGATTTTACCTTTCTGAACCTGGTATTTTGGTTTGTATGGAAAGAAAAATTAACTAAATTTAGAAATCTGAGGCATTATACATCTTTCTTAAGTCCACAATTTTACTCCTTTAAAAAAACTGTTCAACAAGCATAAACGGGAGAGAAAATATTTCTTTCTGGATATGGCAGACAAAACAGACTCACTAATTGCCTAATTATTAATAAAGTGACTTGGTCATAGTGGAATATTTTGAACAATTCTAAACCTTGAGACAGTGATATTTCCAGGGAAGACTTTAACTAGATAATCTTTCTTGAGAATCTTTCTGTGCACAGTGAATAGTATCTTGTATTATCTGGGACAAGATACAAAAGGCCAGCTCCAAACAGACCAGGTCCCTCAAGTTCCCTTAGGATCATGGGGTACTGAGAACCACAGGACCCACAGAAAAGATTCCAAAACCCTAACTTCTATTCTGACAATTCAGGACCCAGATGCTGTCAAGAAACAGCCTGAGATGAGAAATTCCTGCCATCTTTGAATGGGCTCTGGTAATATGTGCATGCATGGACCTAAAGGACAAGTCCCTCAAGGAAATAGAGATCTCTAGGATAATTTTGACTAAAAACAGCTTAAGTATAGTCGCTAAGTTTCGAGGACAAGGGGTAAACTGAAGCAACCAGCTGCTTTTTTCTCAAGTAGAGCATAATGGATGAATAGCAGACTTTAGGAGTTAAAACTTGCCATTGTTTTGGGTCAACTCCAGTACTGGAGTCCCTTCTCCATTTTCTTTTGTCAGCTTGGTCCTTGTGATGAGTTTGTGGGCTGTGCCTAAATTAATTTCTGCCTCTCTGTAAAGCGTGTGATCTGTATACATATGGAACTTACTGACTCCTATGTTCCACAAAGTTAACTACGATGGCCAACTACATGGGGGAAACGGCTCTTCAATTGCAATTGTTCCCTAACCCTCTCCTGGTGACACACTTGCAGAGGAACACACTCTAGACTGAAGTATACCCTAAGTGTATTAGTCACTTTGTCATCACTGGAACAAAATACCTGACATCCAAAACTTAAAGGAAGATTTATTTTTGTCTCAGTTTCAGTTCATTTAGTCTATAATTGGCTGGCTGCAAGGCAGAAATGGCATGGCAGAACAGCATGACAGAAGTAAACTGTTCATCACATGGTGGCCAGAAAACAGAGAGAAGGGAGGAGCCAGGGATGCAAATACACCCTTTCAAGTCACGCTGCCAGTAACCCCATCCCCTGTAAGCAGGCCTCACCTCCAAAACATATGTTTAGGGGACATTTTAAATCTAAATTATAACATTCTGCCCCTGGCTCCCAAAAGACTCATGTCCATCTCATTATGCAAATTGCATTGAATCCATCTCTGAGAATCACGAAAGTCTTAACAGTTGAAAAGTCCAAGTCCAAAGACTCCTTTGAGATTCTAGACAAACTCTTCGCTGTGATCCTGTATAAAAATCAAAACATGTACTTCTAACAGATAATGACACAGGGTAAACACTCTTACTCCAAAGGTGAGGAAAAAAGAAATAGACAGAAGTTGGACCAAAGCAAGAGCAAAACCCAGGAGGACAAATATTAAATCCTATAGCTGCATGTCCAGCACCTCGGGCAGGTTGTGGCAAGATATGAGCACCAAAGTCCTCAGGCCCTCCCCAATGGCCTTGCTATTTGCAGCCCTCATAGCCTTTCTCTTGAGCTGGCTTTGCTTGCTGCCTGCAGTTTCCATATGAACATTTTCCATATCCCAGACATTTCCAAGTTCCTCGGGTCTCCGCTGCACTTTGATTTCACCATCCCAGTTTCATGTGCTGCCCTCTCAGGGGCACATTGCTTGACCTTGTGGGCCTTCTTCTGAAATCTGAGTGGATTCTGCAAGCCTGAAAAATCAGCACCATGTGAATGATGCCAATGTCTGCCACTGCCTTAATCAGTAGCATGGCTGCCTTGGATCATTCCGAAGTGACCTCTGAATTCTGGGTGGTTGAACTCAGGGAAACACTTCCCTAGGCAGCCTGGAATGAGCATGGTACCCTTGAGTTCTCTTCTCAAAGCAAAGTCTTTCAAAGGAGTTTATCCTTTTACATTCATCACCATGGAATGTATGGGATCTGGCTGTTTCTTGGAATGCCTTCAAGGCATAATTCCTATTGTCCTGATGCAAATTCTTGTCTTCTTTTTAATGTTAATCTTTCAACATCCATGCTTTCTTCTGTCCCAACTCTGCAGGTGCTTCCTTTCTGAGAAAACAACAAAGTTTTTATATCTTTTTAAAAATTAAGTATATTGGTACATTTTAGGTATACAATACATTTACACTTCTCATTGGGAACTTGTACCTTTACATGATGTATCTTGGTTCTTATTTTTTTCCCATTCCCCTGCCCTCCATTCATCCCCTCCACCCTTCCCTATTGACAAGACTTTGTTTCCATTTTTTCCTTTTCTCATATTTTTTTCTTTTCCCTTACTTCCTGTCCCCTACCCCTCCCACTTTCCCTATTCCTTTAGACCTTTTCTTCCTATTTCATATTATCAATTATACATTTTGAACCTTATTTATACTTTTAGTTTTTCATACCAGAGAAGCTTTATCTTTTGATTCCAATTTTTGCTCCTATTTCTCACTATAAACTTGGGTAAAAGCAGCCAGCAGTACTTATGTCATGGCCTGAACATTGGGCTGCCATGAAATTTCATCCACCAGATCAATTTGTCACCACCTTTAAATTCAGCCTCACACAAACTCTTAGGACACAGACAAAATGTAGACACATTTTCTGCCAGAGAATAACACAAATGACTTCTACTCCAACTGCCCATGTAGTCCTTGTTCCCAACTGAAACCTCCTGAGCCTGGCCTTTACTGTCTGCATTCCTATCAGCATTCTAGTCTTTTGAGCTCTGCCCAGCATCATACATCCAAGTCATGTCCCTAGTGATCTGCCCCTTCAGGCCAGGCCCCACCCCCTAAAGTGAGATTTTGGGGGTACTTTTTAGATCTAAAGCATGTTGAGTTAGGCCTGTAGATGCTTAATGTGTGGTCCAAAGTCTTTACATCCTTAACTCTTTTATAGTTGACAAGGACATTCACACTGCCTCCCTCATTCTTGTCATTATACTGAGCAACAGGCTGCCTAGGATTGGTGTCTTAAGGCCTATGCAGGGAAAGCCAATTATCTCAGCCAACTGCTCTCCCTCTACTCTAGAAAAGTGTGGCCCCATGTTCTCTGCTTTTCTTCCCTTTCACAAGTCGAGGGCACTTTTATCTCACCTCAGGCTATTATCACAAAAACTTTATTCTTAAATGCCTCCTCCTTTATCTTTTATGTTATTTCAGGAATATAGATGTCAGTGTCTTTCTTTTATTTCTTTCCTCTCCTTGCTTTGCTTCCATATTTACCTTACAAATATTCCTAATCATAGTTGCTTAGTCAATACTTTTATATGCTGATAATCCATTATTTCTTTTTCTAGATAAAATCATCACTACAACTGAAAATCCCACCAAGGAAGAAAATGAACCTACTGAATTCCCTCAAAAAAATAAGCAAAGTATTAAAATTACTTCACTGTATTCACTACTGGACCACATCATTTTATGATTTGAAAATTTGAGTCCCTATTTACATAAAAGAATAACATGCTAAAATGTTTGTACTGCTACATTGTATTTTATTTTATTATTATCATTATTATTTTTGGTACTGGGGATCAAACTCGGGTCCTTGCACCTGCTCAGCAGGCAGCGAGACCACTGAGCTAAATCCCCGGCCCTGTACTGCTACATTTTTTTTTTTTAGTTCTTTTATTGGTACATTTTAGGTATACAATTCATTTACATTTATCATTGGGTGTTTGTACCTGTACATGATACATCTTGGTTCTTATTTTTTTCCGCATTACCTGTACGCTCTTCACCCCCTCTGCCCTTCCCTATTTATATAGATTTCATTTCCATTTTTTTTCTTTTCTCATAGTTTTCTCTTCCCCTCTTTTCCTTTCTCCTTCCCCTCCCTTCACTCCTTCATCTTTGGACCTTTTTTCCTATTTCAAATTATCAATTATTCATTTTAATCATTTTAACTCTTGTTTATACTATCAGTTTCTCACACTAGAGA